ACCCTAAAACAGAAACACTATACTCTAAACCCTAAAACAGAAACACTATACCCTAAACCCTAAAACAGAAACACTATACCCTAAACCCTAAAACAGAAACACTATACCCTAATCCCTAAAACAGAAACACTATACTCTAAACCCTCAAACCCTAAAACAGAAACCCTATACCCTAAAACCCTAAAACACAAACCCTATACCTTAAAGCCCTAAAACAGCAATCCTATACCCTAAAACCCTAAACAGAAACCCTATACTCTAAACCCTAAAGCAGAAACCCCATACCCTAGTGAGTATGATACACTGGTGAGCCACTGTATCATATCTCATATTCAATGAAAGGATATGAATATCTATCACAGCTTAGTCACAGAATCTCCGGTTGTCAAAACCTGCATGACTCACAACTAGATCACCACACCCAAAGAAAACAACCCAACAAGTACAACAACCACAGACAGCAAAAGACTCAGCCTTTAGATAGTACAGTTCGCTCTCCACTGAAAAGCAGGGTCACGGGAACTGCCAACACCTGCCGGTAGCCACAAGTCCACCCCGGACATCAGGCATTGTATATAGCAATAGCGTGTAAACAAATAAAGATACCTAAAACAGAAACCCTATACCCTAAAACCCTAAAACAGCAACCCCATTGTCGACTCACTTAGCCTAAGCTTCAAACGGGAATTTACTGACCACTTCTTCCTATCAATCTTTCCTGAACCACTACAGCAATATGAGAGCCATACCATATGTTCACACATTGTATCATACATACTTGCCATTTTTGAAATAAATTTTATTATCCCTATACCCTGAAACCCTAAAACAGCAACCCTATACCCTAAAACCCTAAATCAGTAACCCTATATCCTAAAACTCTAAAACAGAAACCCTATACCCTAAACCTCTAAAAAATTAACCCTATACCCTAAAACCCTAAAACAGAAACATTATACCATACTAAAACGACTGCAGAAAGCACATGAAAATGCATTAGCACGAGAGAAATGTCCGCTTCAGTTTCCTAGGATTCTGATGTACCTCATTAATAGAATCCCAAAGCAAACGAACGACACATCCCCTGAATCCCAAACCCATAGCAGTACACAAACAGATACAGCACACACACGTCGTACAAATGGCGTGCAGGAAAATCACACCGAAACATTCACTCCAATGTCCATAGATGCCAAACAAAAAGAAGGTGTCAAACGTAGCTACAATAGCACTAGCGACTTCGACACTGACAGAGCTCTCTCAAAATCTAAAGTAGTTGATACAGAGAGTGAACTCACTTCAAGTACTGAAGATATGCTCACAAAGATTACAGAAGAGAGAACAAGTAGAGGACAAGCAATAGAAAAAAAATGAATGGGTTTCTAATCTACTACGTTAATCTCAACTCATTGAAACACTCACAACTGCAATATAAAATCTTACGAAACCTTTGCTCTCTATGCGATGCACTATCCCTAGTCGAGACATGGAGTTACACAAATAGACTACATACATTACGCAATAATAGCGACACAAATCTCATATATGCCTCACCTCCTTCTAGTAGCACACACAGAGGTGGTAAAAACAATGGAGTGGCTGTAATTAGCAGACATTCACCATCCGAATTTCAACAACACTCAATCAGCCAATATACTATTTCCTTTTAGGGTTTTGGTATACTTAGAACCTCATTTAGGGGATAACGTAAACAAAATTTTGTTATCTCTCAACTGTAAACCACACATACTAGTAGGCGACATGAACTTTCGGGATACTGAATACGACGACACAATAACAAATCGTCCTGAACTAGGAAAATCCATCGAACATTACACCAAACTACATCAACTATATCACATCACACCTAATCGAATTGAAAATATCCGAGTTGATCACGTTTACGCGCAAACACAAACCAAAACTCTTCTCGATCTTACTAATACAAGCAAAGTTATCTTACAAACTGACCACCAGTGGATCCTTACACTCCACATCAAACAACCAGAAACACACATTAAACATATAAAACCACCTAATACCGAATGTATGCCTGCTCAAGGATATAACAGATATCGCATACGCACATACAATTGTAAGCAACCGTACTACTTGAAAACATTTCATGCACGAATTCGAGCTAATGCCCGTTCCTGGCTAAATCTGACAAGGAATGCGGATCCAACCACACTAAACCTCACATACAATACACTCATAAACAAACTATGAAAAGTAGCCCAGGGCACCTTCTATGGATATTACCTCGAACATAATACATACCGACCACACACCCCTCTTCACACCACTGAACGCCTTCCTAATATCACAATAGTTAAGTCGTACAACAAACAGAAAAAATCACGTAGAATACAACCCTCTATACCAAACACCACGATACCAACTGCCGATATCATAAGTACTTTTCTGAATCAACTGTTCAACAAGAAAACGTTCCACAAAACTCCAGAACAGACACATACAGAACATATAGCCCTTGATTGTAATATTTTTTACCAGAGAGAATATCATGTACGCAATACTCGCATACGATAGTCGCAAAGGAACTGGACCTGATGGCATACATATAGATATACTCAAAGCAGCTATCGATACATATCCTCCAGGCCACAAACTTGAAGGAAATCCAAACCCACAATCACCATTTCTTAAAATACTTGCCTGTTTATCCAACAAGATATTCCATACGCGTATCGCACCACACGCATGGCTGTGTACTATGATCGTTCCTATACCAAAAGTAGAAATTCCCGCAGGTCCGCAAGAGTTTCGACCAGTTACACTCACGCAAATACTTACACGTATTTTCTAAATCGTACTGCTGGGATACATGAACCAACACCCAGCTTTTAAAACACATAAAAGACGAGTCGGATTCAAATCAGGATACTCATGCTTCACGCATGCCCTTACGCTACATGAATATATCAATTAAGCAAGCCCATAAGACAAAGATATGCTTCAATAAAGGAAGCTTACGACTCAGTCAAATTGAACCGCTTATGGGGTCTCCTTCATAACCGAAAAGTGCCTACACCACTCATTACACTATTTAAAAACATGTACCATAATGTAACATCGCGTGTGACGTACCAACAGATCCTATCTCCACAGTTCACACGATCCCAGGGCATCACTCAAGGAGGCCCAATTGCACCCACGTTATTCAACATATACATAGACCCACTCTTAGAATCCTTGAAAAGATAGACCCTCACGGTTTTCTCGCGTGGGTCGACGACCAATCCCGTTACAGCCGTGATACAAACAAATTGCAGCGTTGTCTTAACCAAACACACGCATGGGGAATACGCTCCGGCGTCGAATTCCATCCCACCAAATCAATACATGTTCCACCAAGAAACGAGAAACACAAGAAATCATTGATGCTTGGCGAATACCGACTCGAACACCACAACCACACTAAATACTTGGGATTCCCAATGTCATCCGATGGTATTGATGTACTCAAGATGTTAGCAGCCCGCATTAACACTCTATCCGAAACAATTGAACACAGTGGCACACACGGCTTTCGAGCTGGTACACACCTACACCCTCATAACAAACTCACTATCTCTAATGTATTTATTATAACAAAGATCACATACGGCCTCGCCTTCACACAAATTGATTCAAAACTCGAACAACTAGACACCATAATTTATAAAGCAGTAGGGTATATTACATCCACAGCCGCAAACAAACGCCCACCCTAACGTCCAACAAAGACAATGTATATACTGCTTAAATTCTGTGGGCAACTAACTGCCAGGGCAATGTGCACCTGGCAGTGTGTTTGCCTGCTTAATCATCTTAAACAAATGTCAAGTAGCAATCCCCTTCGGTTATATATGGGCAAAAGAGCCTCTATATTTAATCGTATGCGTCTCACTATGCTCGCTCGCGAGAACATTTTCGAATTCCCGCCATTTTGTAATAAGCCAAGCCTCCACATTAGACTCTTTGTATAAACGTACTCTTAAGCAGTACACAAATTATAAACGTACTCTTAAGCAGTACGCAAATTATAAACGTACTCTTAATAGTACGAGGAACTTAAGTTTCCTAAATGTACTCTTAATAGTACGAGGAACTTAAGTTTCCTAAATGTACTCTTAATAGTACGAGGAACTTAAGTTTCCTAAATGTACTCTTAATAGTACGAGGAACTTAAGTTTCCTAAATGTACTCTTAATAATACGAGGAACTTAAGTCTCCTAAATGTGCTCTTAATAGCACAAGGAACTTAAGTTTCCTGTAATGGTTTTTAATGGCTTTATTAATTGAACCTTTCCCATTTAACTTATCAGATATTTGGATGAGGCCATTAAAAGGCCTCAGTAAAATAGCAAACATAAAAGAGTTGGTCTAGTTCTATTAATAGAGCTTTATTTACTTTCCAATTTTATTTATTTCTGAATACTTCGGTAGCGAGATGACTCACCCGAATATAGGTTTCTAGGGACTATTAAAGTTACCTAGTTGATCCTCCGATAAGCCAACCAGATGTGCCAGTCTGATGAAGGCTAAGTCGGTAATTCTTGATAGTGGCAAGTTATTGGTTAAGACAATAACTAAAGACGTCAAGAGTATTTTTTTCTTTTTTATATATTTTTTTCTAAAGATAGGATTTTATGAGTCTCTCGGATTTGCCCCAGAATAGGGCGACAACGAAAGACTAAATAAAATCCCTTCGGCGGAAACAGTACTGAGAGGATTATATATAGGCAATGTCTCAGCCTCACAATCCCTCAGAGTATTGCTGTTTTCATGAGGCAAATCTAACTTTATTAAGCGTCTCATTTCATTTATTTATATCGATATTTACACGATATATAGAATTTACCTACGCGTTTATTTATTCTAAGGCATTAGTATCGCCTTTATTAGACCGAATCTTACAATTTAAGTTATATACATAATTAATTACTGGCTACAAGAACCGCAAACCAAAGGCAAAGGACCAAGAACTACACAAAATGGCAACGCGTGAACTCCGCTTCCGCCTGCTGTATCCGGGGGAAGAAGACCGCTATCAACTCGACACTCCACTGGAACATCACTGCTTTAGTAGCCTCTCATTTCGCATCCCGACGATAGTAGCTCCTTACATCACAAAAAGGTATATGTTCACGCTAGAAAAGACCCCGGCTGGTCTCACATGCATAGGCTGTGGTAGAACCCCATTTACTACCTCACACTTCACATGTCCAAACGTGATGCCCTATGTGTCCAAACTAATCACACCTCGACAAGAAGTCGCAGTAGATAGCAACCTTATCGATGCCCTCTGCTCACGCAAACGGTATACGGATATGCTTACCCTCTACGACCAACTACAGTACCTACACATGGGCCCCGTTGCGCCAATGCCCATCACAACTTTGGTGCACACATTAGGCATTGATAGTATGCACCCACAAAATATCTTCACATGGCCATCATTGGAGATAAGACGCAGCTTCGAGCAACCAAATAGACTCTTGTGGATCGATACACACAACATTGACTTTAACACGCTTCACCCTGAAGCATGTGCATACATCGTAATCCCACAGTACTGGAAACGGACACTTCCCAATCACCACATACACTCACTCTTCGACATCGACCAGGATATAGACAAAAACATACCCTTAGATATCACACTAGCATGTATCTGTAACAGTGTTACCCCACCTGACTTGATCAATCGCTGGCGAATATCCTTACGGCAGCTATGTATTGACTTGAAACTGAATAGCTTATATATCACGACCCACACTGCGATGAAACGTCCTCCACCCCGTCCCCATCCCCCCTGAAGGCCTACCGGCAGGCACAGTCGCACATAGCGGCCCGGTGATGAGGTAGTGAGGAAAATGTAACCTTCGTGCCACTACACTTACCTCATATTTAGCTCCAACGATATTCATACTTTCGTCAGTATATCGCCAATTCTTGTGTCAAGTCAGCCAAGGTACCTAGTACAGATATATACACGATATAACAAATAGAAAACCCCACCCATCGCCAAACCAAAACACAAACGACCAGCCAGAACAACCTGATCATGCAGACTGCCCTTCCCTGAGAAACAGGGCCACGGCATCTGCCAACACCTGCCGGTAGCCACAAGTCCATTCTGGACATCAAGGCATTGTATATAGCAATAGTGTGTAAACAAATAAAGATACCTAAACCCTAAAACAGCAACCCTATACCCTAAAACCCTAAAACAGAAATCCTATGCCTTAAAACCCTAAAACAGCAACATTATTGCCTGGGCTCCGCCTATATGGAAGGATGCGTTGGACCCCCCTATTCGAGCGCTTTAACTCAGCACTCATCCAAGCAGCAGCCATCATCACGGGCACTAAATACCCTCGGTTTCCCAAACATCAAACAAACTTACTTCATTTTTGCGGCCTGCTCCCCGCGCGACCATTCGCGTACTACCTCGGAGGTTGCCTGGGAATACAACTCGACTCAATGGCAAGCAAAAATCCACTTACCCCTCTGACGCAACCCGCCTGGGCCCACGATAAACCATCACTGCTGCGCTTCCCGTACAGAATCTATGCTCACCTGAAAACTGTACACAAAACCACGGGCGGGTGTACACCCGACCATGTAGCCCTCCGCCAACGCTGTGACGACATCAGGAAGAACTCAACAAAACGTTGCTCCAACAAGAAGATCGCGGCAATGGCCCGGCGCCAATACTACTACCAACTGGTTATGGGCAAACCGCCAACCTCAAACCGAGACACAACCAGACACGACAGCTTCAATCGCTGCTTCGAGTCTATACCAATCCGGCTCTGTGCTATGATTGTAACGATTACGTACATGTTCACATTGCTCGACTACCGCACCGACGGCTGTCTCTGCCCTGTTTG